ATGACTTTATTTGTCCTCCTCGCTGTAGAAAAACAGAGCTAGAGTACATGCATAAATAAATGCATAGAGAAAATAAACCATCACAGGTAATTGGTCCGTTGTTGTAGACAAGAAGTATATCGGATGTGTCAGATATTTATGCTTATACGTGAGTCTAATTTGATAACTGAAGGACAGAGGTAGATCAACATCCGAGGTGACAATCGTATTGAAAATCGGTTCCCGTTGCTCTTGGGCGAACTGAGTTCCATTTCGCCCCGTCGCCGAGCAATTGGCAGTGCTGGCAACCGTTTCGCGGCCAGCCGAGGTGACATCGTCAGTGCTGACGAACAGGCAAAACATTGGAGTACTGCAATTTCGATCGCACCACGAGCAAACAGATATATGCTCGAAGAAACGCGCTGTTTGAAACACAAACACTCCCACACAACGAAGGAATTCAACATAAAACCAGCACGATTCACTGTCACTGTAATCAGGTGAAAGGAGATGAGTCGACTAAGTCGAACAGTGTAGGAGGTACTGAACATTTTTGCATTGGCTGAAATCGCGTGAGAAACTCCGAGGACGTGAAGGAGGTTTAAATGGGCACCACTTGTAGTAAACAAACCCAAGAATACTACTGAAAGTGCTCTATTACTCTATTATTGGATCCTATGTGAATGTTTTCCTAATCTCCCCCTTGCTCTTTGACTATCGGGATTTCCCCTTCTACTGTAACTCACATTGAGTAATTTAAAAAAAAGAGATTCGCGGATGACGACTGCAAACACCAAGTCCGCGGTCCAGTTGACAGACACACGTTGCACCATACAGTCATCAGCGAGAGGTTGTACAATCGTCAATCGCATAGCTGAACAGTACCGAAAATAATGAACAGTTTTGCCGAACTCCTAAAGGGAAGTGAAACTTTGAAGACTCCTAACCGTACGGTCAACTTTGAGCTAGGGAAGCCCAGAAGTATGCTTTGATGTCTTATAATCTCCTCGGATGGCAAATCTACCTTCACCATACTCCACCGGTTCCTATGGACGGAATCAAGGGTGGTGCGGAACGCAGTGGAACAGGCAGACTTGGGCTGCTAGAACCTAGGGTAGTGTCCTGGAATCAGATGGAGAGAAAAAATCTGATCAACACATCCGCTGCCACTGCAGAAATTGTCTCCATTTAGGCGCGTGCGCGCGCCTCTTGTTATTATGAAGCGATTAAACGGTATCCGAAAACCTCCGAATGGTCAGAGGGAGTTTGTGACCCATTACACTTCCCGTGTACCTCACGAATTGCTTCTATAGGACCAAATGCCTCCGTTCAGTTCAGTTAGTACAACCATTAAACATGCACTTTCGTGCGCCGGTTTTGGTTGCCCATTTGGATAAAACAGCAGAATGAAGATTAGAAGTGGAAGATAGCACATTTTCATAGACTGAAGTTACAAGAATAATGATTAGATGCATGAGCACCATTGTTTGTGACACCCAACAATATCGCTCAGTGTCTCCAACCATCGGTGACCATGATCTCGGGATCCCCAATCAGGGAGCCTAACGGGACCTATGTGACCCAGTCGCTTGGTTAGGGTTTTCATACCCTCATGCCGGGTCTTCGTTTGACCACTCTTGACCTTTTTCCAACCGTTATCTGCCTCGGCAAACATCGCTTGCCGTGGCAACCTATCTGGTGACACGCGTAGCACATGTCCCAACCAACGTAATCTATGGAGGTCGATCACTTGATCCAGTGGACGACCGCGATTACCTAAAACTGTACGCCTAACCTCAGCG